GTCTAAATATCAAAATATCTAAATATCATAATATCCATATCCATATATTGTCCGGAACACGCGGGTTTGCTAAAGAATAATTCATTGTTGACATCGAGAAAATGTTCAGAACTACGGATAAGTCTGTCTCCAAAACAAAACCCTAAACTACAAAGACAAGGGACTAAGGGCATCGCGCAGGATTCCATCGTGCACTTGATATTATGATATTTAGATATTTCAACAATTCTCATATTTTTTGCAAAAGGCTGTATAGTCACTTGCCTCAGATTTCTTTTCAGAGTGGTGATTTTTTCTGTTTCCTTTTACAGATTGGCTATGACTCTTCTTCAAGTGAGAGTGAATCTGAATTAGAAATCCGTAGACGTGCCTTACTTGAGCAACTAGGAGCAGCTGGTGGTACAAACTAACTTACAGACAGTACATTTCAGTTAAAATRCATTTTTTACGGTAAATTCCACTCAGTACTTCTTTCTTAAATTTAGTGGAAAAAYTCAGAAGTTATGGACACGAGAGACTGTCATACAAGTTTATCTTGTGGTTGCTATTTTTTTTAACTTAGTAACTTTCACTTTACCAGTTGCTTAATAATATGCTCTGTCATTGGAAGTTAGSTTGTTTCATCTTTCTTGTATATATCAATCATTCAGAGACCTACCGCACTAAGTGTATCCCCATTTTACTTTACAAAATGTAACTAATTTTGTGAAAAACGAGAATAAAAAGAGCCTTAAATGTGATTAGAATTGTATTGCTCATCATTTTAGTGCCTACATTATTTTAACCTTTAAGTTTAACTCAAACTTATTAAATAATTTATCAGGCATTCATATAATTCTATCTCTATTGCTTAAAACCATGACAAAATTGAAATGTTCTGATAATCAGAAAATTTAGGCCATTGATCGAGGAGATTCAACACTTTGCATACTTTTCACCTAATAATTTTTCGCACTATTTTACCGTACTATTAGAACAATACAGAGATCTATGAAAAGTTAATAATATATTCACATCGCTAGTTGACAGACATGAACCCTTCAGTTTAATCTAATCTGGGAATCGCACCCAGTCCTCCTGACAACTACACAAGTAGATGTCAAGCGTGCACTCTTACACTAACTAGATTTTGTGGTGGGTTGGAGTCGGGGCGTCTCAGTGATGTGTTGATGGAATTATCAGGAAACTTCTGCCACTAATAAATGTACAAATAATCTAGTGATTGAGTCTAAAGGATGGATTATCTTGATTTCATCTCTTGTCACAGTACAACCAGACACGAAAACCCCCCAAAAAACCACTCCCAGTGAGTGGAAAAAAAGGGGCACGTGTTATCATCTTACCAAGAAC